AAATTGTGTTTGAAAATCAAATAATTAAAATGTATTTTTCGATTTTTGGTCGAATTGATTATTTAGTTACTATGACAACTAAGTGACACCCAAACCTAAAAACCAACTAAAAACTATTTCAGTTTTAAAGCTGTCAAGCGGCACGGCTTAAAAAAATGTTTCGCTTCGGTCATGAAAGCAAAGAAAATATTCGCAAGGAGATTAAGCAGTTGACACTCGCGAATACTAGGAAATCGAAGTCAAGCGTATGGAAGCAGTTTACAAACTTTCATCTCAGCTTTGTAATTGAAATGTATCAAAATTATCATGTAAACAAATAAAAACCAGACTCTCAAAAAGATATTCTGTCATTATAAACGTCAAAAAATTTCCAGTATAATTTGCTGTTGGGTACCCACAAGGAAAAAATTTTCACTAAAATTTATCCGTTGCCATGGTGATTTGTCAAAAAAACACGTTTTGATTGGTTAAAAATTACAGGTGTGGAATTTTCATGAAAATTCATTACAATTAATATATTTTGTATATTTTACCATCCATTCTTATTTTAGTAATACTTTAAAAGTACATTTGCGGTATGTTTCCGGGTGGTCTTTACAAGAAACTTTTTTATTATTGACATTTTTAGAAATATACCAAAATTCTTGCTTATTTTAAAATGGTTAGTCTCGTTTTCACTTTTCCAAATTTCGAGTAGAGTTGAATACCAAACTCCTAAAAATCAAAATGCGTTTTTATGGTAATATAATTTCGTTAACATTCTGTAACGTTTTTAGTTCGTTACATGTCTGTTTTATATATAATATATGATGTCTGGGGCCTATCATCACCGGATTCCCTCTCGTTCAGGCCGGATAGTTTATTTGACGCGTAATTTTTACGTTCCCTAATCGCCAACCCTGTTATCGTTCGACATAACCCTGTTATTGCTCTGAGGAGGCGCTGTCAACATCGCTTCTGTCAACTGTCTCCGTGCTTAACCTCACTTTGTTTTGACGCTCTGTTGTATCCCAGCTTTTAGAAATAGTGATTATTTAAATCTTGCTGTATAATTTGAATCAGCTGCTATTTCGAGGCTACAGGTAAAGATAGTTATTACCTTTTATCGATTCGATATTGCTTATTGAATATTTTTTGGGTAGAGTTACGGATGTCCTGGGTAACTTGTATTTTGTATTTTGCTGGCACGGTTGCGTCCCTTTTCTTTTGTCCTCCAGAATGTCATATGGAAGAAAGGACAGGTTGTTCATTATTTATTGAGCCCTCGGAAGTATTTCGAGGGTCCAAGGTACGGACTGTGTCCAAGGTACGGACAATTTCCAAGGTACGGACTGTGTCCAAGGTACGGACTGTGTCTAAGGTACGGACTATTTCCAAGGTACGGACTGTATCCAAAGTACGGACTGTGTCCAATGTACGGACTATTTCCAAGGTACGGGTAGTGTCTTATGTACAGATGTCCTGTGGACGAGTGTCCCCAGTAAAAACGATTTTTTCTTACATCTAAGTGCCACAGCGTGGATGTAGCTTGAGTCCCATGCTGCTTCACTCTCATTTCTAAGCCTAGTCAGTAGCTACGGCTGTAGTGATTCATGGTGTCCTCAATCTGGCCCCTGTTGTTGTTTTGGCCAACAGGATCGCCGACAGACAGTACAGAGATGCTGGACCACCTCACGCTGCTACTGTTCGAAGCAAGGTTACATAAAAGAACAGCTAAGTGTATATTTAAGTTCTAGTTTTACATTTAACATCTAAAATATTTTCAGTTTTAGACAGTAACATACAGTTTAAATAATATCGTACAGACTATATTTAGTGGTTAGATTATTAAGAACATTTATGTCGATTCAGTAGTTACAATGTGATTTAGATTTTAGGTTTCATTATATTACGCCTTGTAATAGTATTACTTTCTATAGATATTATTATTACGCTATATTAACAGATGAATAACGAGACATAGATTCTAGAATCTACAGGTTGCAACACATCAGATTTAACACCACATAAAATTTAACAATTTAAATAAAGTAATGCTACTTTTCTTATATTTTCTATAACGTTACACGCATTGTATTTTTTCATAGTCTTTTCATAGAACATATTTATATTATTTACATACATAGTTTTACTCAACAAATAATTCACTATAATAATTATTAAAATTGTACAATGCTATTTGCCATCGTGAATTCAACATGAATCAATATAGTCATTAGTTTTAAGTAATATACAACTGTGTTTTCTTTCTCTGTACATGCCTGGCGCCCAATATCTATTTTTTTGTTTATTGTTCTTAATTAGTTTTCTTTCCAGTGAAATACCTTATCCACGACTGCTCTCCGATGAAAAGCTGCCGTTCGCAGTGGTAGTTGTTTAAAAAACGCTACAATTCTTTGATTGATGGTGTTTAAAGAAGCACAACATTTATTTAAATGGTGTGTTTCTTTAACATGGAAATGGAAAAGAAATTATATTACCATAAAACAGCATTTTTATTTTTGGCACTTCAAAAATTTAACTATATTTATAATTTTTTTTCTCTAAAACGGTATGGAAATTTGGAAAAGTGTAAATGGAATTAACCATTTTAGAACAAGCAAAACCTTTTATAAAGAATGCATATTTCTCAAAATGTTAATAACAAAAACGTTTTTCCTCTCGATCATCCGGGAACCATACTGTATACACTATACACATAATGCTGTATTTAATACAAATAGTGCATGTCTCTCTTTCTTTCTCTCTCACTTTCTAAAATAAAATATACAGGGTTGTTACACCACATACGACATGGACTCTTCTAGCTAAACGATTAAATTTTTACAAATAGTAAGTTTTGGGTTCGTTGAAGGACTATTACAGCTAGAATTTAAAAATATTTTCACAAGATACAGTGTGTCCCAAATAAGTAAAAAATATTATAGTTGTATTTTTTTACATGCAACACCCTCTATATTATTCTATTTTAGATTCTATGATTGAAATAAAGGTATATTTGATTGGTTTATCACACTCCAACATACCGTTTTTGAAATATTATCAGTTTTGTGAAATTGCAGTAAAAGGGCTTATATATATATATATATATATATATATTATATATAAGGATTCATTTTTCCAAGGGTATCAAAGTTTTTAATATTAAATATTTACTAAAGTTTATTTATTGATCGGATATTATGTTACAATAATAAACAAAATACTACCTTATACAGAGTATCCAAAAGTGTATATTAAATAATTATTAGCTTTAAACGGCAATTGTTTAATTTAAATGTAACACCCTGTATATTTTACGTGAATCAGATGCACAATTATTTAATTGTCTATCAAATTGTGTTATACCATTTTTATCTATATCTTCAAGTTTTCATAGAAAAGGCATTTTCCTATAATTTAGACCTCATTTATCACTATACCCATGGAATATTGACATTTTAGATTATTTGTAAAGATGTAACAAATTTTCAAAGAGTACAGATACTAATATTGTTCGCTTATTTCATTAAAAAATTAAAAAACTGATTAAATATTTTTTTTGTTAAAGATGACCAGTTAATATGATCCCCTACTAGTATCAAACTACATTAATTGACTGTTTACGTTGATTAATAATAATTGCTCCGAATACTAAAAACCTAAATTTTGTATTTGTATTAGACAGTGTGAAAAGTAACACTATACATTTTATTTCATTTTTTGACGAATACTTATTTATAACATTAACGGAGACGTTTATTTTCATAACTTATTATTATATTATTATCATAACTTATATTGATTTCTGTGTCAAATCCACATTTATTTAGAATTTATTAATTAAAACTATTAAGTATGTAATTAACCAATTTTTGGGCGGAAATAATCGTGGTATATTTAATTGGTATACTCTTTTACGAAGATTTAAATAATTTTCTTTTTGTAAACAAATGGGCTTGCAATATTATTATTTTTACCATCTGTACATTTTGGACATAATATGTCGCTTAAAAAATCTAAAATGTCAATATTCCATGGGTATAAATAAATTAATGAGGTCTAAATTATAAGAAAATGCATTTTCTACGAAAACTTGAGGAGATAGGTAAAAAATGGTATAATACAATTTGATAGACAATTAAAATGTGCACCTGATTCACGTAAAATATACAAGGTGTTCTATTTAAATTAAACAAGTTATTGCCGTTTAAAGCTAGTAATTATTTAATATAAATTTTTGGGCACTCTGTATAAGGTAGTATAATTTTTACAATGTAGCTCCGCCAATATTTGATCAATAAATAATCTTCAGTAAATAATTAGTATTATTATTATAAAACTCTGATACCCTTGGAGAAATGAATCCTTAAATATTTTACTGCAATTTCACAAAATTGAAAATATTTCAAAAACGGTAAGGTTTAAGTGTGAAAAACCTTAATCAAATTTACCTTTATTTCAATCGTAGAATCTATAATAATAATAGCTCCTGTATATAGCGTTTTAACGCCTTGGGAGTAGCAAGGTACAGCTTGCTATACTAGAGCCGTTCGGTATACAAGGAAGGTAATGTGGCTAGCACTACGCATCAACCGCCTATTATTACCTCAGGATTGTGAATCCCAAGTACTGATTTAAGGCTGAGTCGACCTAGGTACCCAAACTATTTTTATTTTAATAAAAATAGTCGGCTGATGAAATGCCGGGTGTGGGATTCGAACCCACTACCTTCAGATTGGTAGACGAGAGCCTGTACCTCTACGCCACCGGGCACCTTTATCGTAGAATCTAAAAATAGAATAACATACAGGGTATTCCATTAAAAAATACAACTATAATATTTTTTACTTATAGGTACGGGACACTCTGTATCTTGTAAAATGATTTTTAAATTGTAGTTCTAGTAGTCCATCAACGAACCCAAAACTTACAATTTGTAGAAATCTAATCGATTAGCTACAATACTCTGTGTCGTATGTGCTGACCAACCCTGTATAATTTAATTCAATTTAAAATACCTACACAATTTTGACTCGTTTTTTTTGTGATTTTATTTTACTATTTTATGCATATTGAAGATATGTTTGTTAAGATTGCATTTCAAGTGACTTCTATAAGAACATTTTGGCACTGGACAAATATACGACGGGGGAATCCCACAAAACTTTTTCACGTGATAATAAAAAGAATTTCGTTTGGAATATTCTTTGCCACATCGAGGACATCTGTACTGATCCCCTAAAAATTAAAAATAAACTTTATAAAACAATTCAAAATAAGTATAGTTATATTAAAACTTAATTTTTAAAACACTTACTTCAAATAAAAGAAACAGATTTCTAAAAAGAAACTAAATAAATACTGGGCATCTTCATTTTACTAAAGCATGAAAAGAATTAAACATGCGTTTAGAAAGAAAGCTAAAAAGTATAGAAGTTTACTTTTTGTGATTTCCTAAATTACAAAATTAAAAATAATAATCAAAATAAAAAGTTTTGATAATGTATCCATGAAAAAAAACAATTTACAAATATGTATTTTTTTAATTTTATTCATGTTTTATAAAATTTTATTATATTCTACACGATAAAAAAATTAATACAGTATGTTCAAGAGTAAGTACTGCCTAAAGTTTTAAAATAAATACAGGTTATACGTACAGGGTCGTTTTTATGTACAGAAACGGTCGATTATTAGGTAAAATATAGGAGGTATCGCAAAAAGTTAAATACAAAAGTTATAGGAATTTTAAATATCTATTAGCAAGTAATAAATTTAAGTATACAGAGTCGGTCATAAAGTCGTGGCATATAAAAGTTTCATTTTTTTCAAATAGAAACCCCTATATATTACTGCATATTTCAATTCTTCTTTCAATTCTAAGCAAAAATCGAAATACACACAAAATACCTCAAACCAACCGTTTCCGTGTTATTGACTTTTGAAAATATCATTTTAGCAATTTGATTTAATTAATTTTGGTATGTTCAGTTTCATTTAACGATACTATTCTGCCGAAACTGTGATACTTGATAATATTTGACAATATCAAGTCTGGAAATTAAAAAATCTTCGTTTAACATTCCAATTCTTCAATTTATGTACATTGTGTATTACGATTATTGCTTAAAACTGAAGGAATAATTGAAATATGCAATAATATACAGGGGGTCCCATTAAAAAAACAAAGTTTGATGTGCCACAACTTTATGACCGAGCCTGTATACTTAAATTTACTAGTAGCTAATAGGCATTTAAAAATTCATTACAACAGTATCACAGTTTCGGCAGAATCGCATCATTAAATAAAATTGAACATATCGAAATTAATTAAATCAAATTGTTTAAAAGTGATATGTTCAAAAGTCAATAGCTCTGACACGGTTGATTTGAGGTACATTGTGGGTATTTCGATTTTATGCTTAGAATTGGAAGAAGAGTTGAAATATGAAATAATATACAGGGGGTTCTATTAAAAAAATGAAACTTTCATGTGCCACGACTTTATGACCGACCCTGTATACTTAAATTTATTACTCGCTAATAGATATTCAAAAATCCTATAACTTTTGTATTTAACTTTTTGCGATACCTCCTATATTTTACCTAATAATCGACGTTTATAAAAGCGACCCTGTATATTGAACTTAAGGAAAATATATTGCACATTCTCGCAATCATGGGTCATCTTGTACAGGATGGGTCAAATTCGACGCTTTTAAATGAATACACCCTTTTCTATAGAAGATAAACAAAAACTAATATCGGTGTCAGGAGCTCAATTTTTGTCAAAAACATGATGGTGAAAACCGCACATCGATATCTGTTACCGTTTCGGAGTTACGGGGTGTTTTTCAAAAATATGCATTTTTAACAAATCGCTGTAACTTTTTTGCTACGGAAAATTGCACATTCTCGCAATCATGGGTCATCTTGTACAGGATGGGTCAAATTCGACGCTTTTAAATGAATACACCCTTTTCTATAGAAGATAAACAAAAACTAATATCGGTGTCAGGAGCTCAATTTTTGTCAAAAACATGATGGTGAAACCCACATCGATATCTGTTACCGTTTCGGAGTTACGGGGTGTTTTTCAAAAGCATGCATTTTTAACAAATCGCTGTAACTTTTGCTACGGGAAAATTTTGTATTTTTATGAAAACATTTCCAAAGCACCTTTTTACGTAGAATTTAATGGTTTAAGTATAATTTTTTAAAATTAATAATTTAAGAATTATCTACAGAAAATTTGATTTTTATATGGGACACCCTGTATATTTTTAATTTATTAAAAAGAATTTAAAATTACCTTTCCAAAAATATAACACACTTGATATTTTCCTCGATTCCTCTTCGAAATATAGAGTATATAAAAATTTGCCCGCTTTAAATAAGTATGCTTTGAACGGCACCGGCTGTAATGCAAAAAATTCTAGCTGTGAACATCAATTAAAACGAAAATAATATTTGCTATGAGAGATGCAGAATTTTATAACAATTTAAAATATATTTAACCAACATCAACACATTTAAACTATATGTAATAACAATAAAAATAAATAGCAAACCAAGACATGAGATTTTGCTACAGGTGTTCGACATATCGACCGTCTTCTGTTATGGACAGACGGGGCAGTTTTTGAAAATTTCTCGCGGAGTTCATTAACTCAGTAGGGGTGAAAGATACCCTCTTATAACTGCTAAGTATTTTTAATTCTTGTCTAGATTATACGGAAGAATAAGGAACCTTTATTCTTCCGCAAATATATCCATAGGATTAGATTCATGGGCACTGAGTCAGGCGGCCCCGACGGCCAACGGCTGGGATCTTGGTTAGCTATCCTTATTATTAATCTTCTTAGCTAATTATTCTTGAAATTGGCTGCAAAAATTTGCTGATAACTTCAGCGTTCAGAGACGGTGCGTCGTTTTGCTGGAAAAATATGTTTTCGAATTAAGGACATATCATCAATAAGTGGTCCAAAGCCTACTAGTTAAAAGTGGCGAACTTCTGTATTTCGAAGGGGATTATAACAAAATATCAAGTGTGCTATATTTTTGGAAAGGTAATTTTAAATTATTTTCAGTTAATTAAAAATATAGAGGGTGTCCCAAATAAAAAATCATTTTTTCTGTGGATAACTCTTAAATTATTAATTTCAAAAAAAAATTATACTTAAACCATTAAATTCTACGTAAAAAGGTGCTTTGGATATGTTTTCATAGAAATACAAAATTTTCCATAGCAAAAAAGTTCCATTGATTTGTTAAAAATGCTCATTTTTGAAAAACACCCCGTAACTCCGAAACGGTAACAGGTATTGGTGTGCGGTTTTCACCATCATGTTTTTGATAAAAATTGAGCTCCAGACACCGATATTAGTTTTCGTCTATCTCCTATAGAAAAGGGTGTTTCCATTTAAAAGCGTCGAATTTGACCCACCCTGTACAGTGTTTCCCATTTTCGTGCATGTGATTGGCTATTGATGCTACTTCTTTTATAGATACCACTAATTTCAACAAATGATAAAAAGCTAGAACTTTTTTTGACGTAAAAAAGATTCTCTTCGTTTAGTTCGATAAGGTGAACAATATATTTGCGTTTAAAGATTACGATGTATTGATTTTAGCATTAGGTAGTGATTATAAAATGTAAAGAAATTTTAATAGTTATTAATGATACAAGTTCGATACGAACATCATAATGAAACGCGTGTAACGTTAAGCCAGGAGGCGTCAGCCGAGTGGTTTAGTTACACAAGTTTCATTAAAAAGTTCGTATCGAACGTGTATCATTCAAAATTTAATCTACGACGCGACACGAGGGACGATCCAAAGAGATTTGATTTAATTTAAAATATCAGAGATATCCTCATAAAAATTAAAATTCAAAATTATCAGGTGCCCATATTAGTCGACGCCGCGCCGTGGTAACTGTGCTTGCTGATTGTTTCCATTTTGACTTTGACAACTCAATTATTAAAATAATATTAATATGGGTGATTCTGATTCTGAAAGTGTCCCTTCGGATATTGAAGGCATTGCGCAAAACGTTGTCGATTCCCTACTTCCCGAAAAATCAAGACAAACGTACGAGCAAGCCTATGTAAAACTTGAAGATTGGAGTAAAGGGAAAGGAATCAACAATAGTAGTAACGAAAAGGTTCTCCTGGCATATTTTGAACATCTTTCAAAACATAGGAAGGCTTCATCACTTTGGGTATATTATTCCATGCTACGTTCAGTTATATCAGTGAAGAAAAATACAGATATTAGTAAGTACGTCCATTTAATTGCATTTCTAAAAAGAAAATCGGAAGGATTTCGGTCAAAAAAATTGAGAATTTCAAGAAAAGAAGACATATAGTGTGACCAACGGATCTGTAGCTACGGGGTATCGGCAGGGGAACGCAGTTGTAAACAAAACACGCCCAATTTCATTCATAAAATAGGCATGGGCGTACGGTGTTATATGAAAATAATGTGTATCATAAATATAATACTCAGATTAATAATTTTTTTCAAAAAACTTTATGCTGTTTGAATCGTTACTGTTGAGTTAGCAGATAAACACTAAAAGCTTTTATTAAAGCTCCCTTAAATATTTTGAATCATTTTATTATTGCGTTGTTAATATAATAGAAGAAATAATTACAGCTGGGGGTTGGAGCCTTTGGTGTTACACAGCAAAATAAAACACTAAGTCAGTACAATACACCAAAACACTTTTAATTTTACACTGGACGCACGTCTCGCTAACCATGTCTGCCATCAGCAGATGATCAAGACTGAGTCTTGAGGTAATATTTATTTATATATCTGTACTAACTAAATTTTTTTCTATAATACATAATTTTAGATATAACTATTTCCAGCAAAAAAAATCTTGAAAATAGTTAACTTTGGAAGCGCAAACAAAACATAATTTTACTCACCAGTAGATCCAATATTGCCTATTACACCAGATATGGTATCGCTCCGCCAGCAGTTTTAAAGGTTAGGTCATTGTCTACCCATATGTTACATCCAAATAGATAATACTTGGCTATATTTTCGAATTTCGCGTATATATATTTATATCTCTCTCTGCAATATAATGGGCCGCTCCATTAATATTTATCTGTTATTTTAACATTTACGCCAAAAAAATTCATTTGATTTTAATAACCCCCTAAGCGTTTCCCTGCAAAAGGAAAATTCGATTCTTCCTGCAATTTTTGCAAAAGCTTTCTAATTGTGGGGACGAGTTTGAATTCGAGATAAAATCTATTTATCAAATTCCTGACCACTTCGAAAAAGTCGTTGAGCTTTTCGACAGCAGTCTCACGTGGTCGTTTCTTTCCAGAGAGGATATCATTTTATCGGGGTTAGTTTTCAGCCTTTTTTTTATCTTCTGTGTGAATTTTTTTATAGCCGATACGCTAACTCCGGTATAAAGAAATATCCGCTCAAGTTTACGTTTAAGCGGCAACTCAAGCGAACTCTCTGTAGCTTCTTCATCGCAAACCCTATTATGAACACAAGGAAATACACCAAATGAGATTTCATCCACGTTATTATTAACTTACCTATATAAATTAGCTATTATTTCTCTTGTCTGACTATGTAGCGTCTTACCCTTAACAAATTTATTCGTTTTAAAACACAAATATACGATCAAACTTGATATTAATAATTAAAAACTACGAACGAAAAACATTATAACAAGATAACAAAACAATAAAACACAACTTAACTATCAAATATACGAAAAATATAGAAATAAAGTTTAGGATAACCGGTATAAAATAATGAAATAAAGTAATAATGATCAAAAAAATGACACCGCCACTTGATATTTCAATAGTATTCAATATTCCTACTCTTTTCAGAAGAGACCGTGAAGTTGGGGATAAAGCAAGCGAATAGGAAAGGCGTAAAAGCCATGACAACCACGTGGTAACAAATCCTGTGACGTACTCTCGCCAATCATGTTCGATGAATAGGCGGCCATGCGCGGCGATGCCGGCTTGCCAATGATATCGTTGAAAAATCTTCAACTTTCATAATAAGCAGATTATACAGAATGAAAGAAATAAGTTATTAAATAAAACATATCGAACAATATGAACTACGTTAAAATTCCTTAGTAATATACGTCAGAATATATGCGAAACACATTATATATAATAAAAATATATTAAATTTATAGTTCATGTCTGGCAATTTTGCAATTTTATAGATAAACGTGGCAATATCGATTTTTTTTTCTCGCATTCCTTCCGTAGCTTCAGATCCGCTGGTCAAACAGTACCTAACTCGTTTTTTGTTGCAAGCCGATGCCGATGATAAAACTTATTTCCTGACAAAAGTTTCATTGATAGTGGGACTTGCGGGAGCCTGCCGGCGTATCGAGTTGATAAATCTGCAGCTGCAAAATGTTAAAGATGAAGGACAATGCATTCATGTCATTATTCCATTTACAAAAACAAAGATATCACGAGATCTTTTTATAACGAAAGGGAATGTTGAAGGAATAAATATGGTGGAAATGGTTCGAAGATATACAGGGTGTTTCAAAACAAATGCGAAAAACTTCAGGGGGTGATTCCTTGTTCAAAATAAAGGGTAGTTTGCTTCATAAACGTTGGGTCAAAAGTCAACCATTAGGGAGATATCGCGGTACAAAGATGGCGGAAAAATAATGTTTTATTTTTATCTTGAAAACGAAAGAGATAGACTAATAAAATTTTATGGAAACACACTTTTGGTAATTTTTCACTTTTTTAAATGAGTGGAAGGTTGAAATAAACTACCCCTATCATTCTTGTTAACGAAATTTAAAGAAAAATCTTATCAAACACATGCAAAAAAAATTAATTTGGATAGTTTAGTTTGTTTAGAAACTTTTTTATCTCCTGTATTTTTTTGATAAAACTCACCGATTTGAAATTAAAAAATCAAATGTAAAGCATTACATGCCAGGACAAAAAACATTTTCTGATAAAGAATCTAGTGGGCTGCTGTAATTTTTTAGGAAAAAATCTAGTCGGCCGCTGTTACTTTTTAGGATGTTCCTAATATTATTTTATCTAGATGATTATTATTATCGTTATTATCACTAGATTCTTAATCTAAAAATGTTTTTTGTCCTGACATGTAATGCTTTACATTTTATTTTTTAATTTCAAATCGGTGAGTTTTATCAAAAAAACACAAGAGATAAAGTTTCTAAACAAACTAAACTATCCAAATTAATTTTTTTGCATGTGTTTGATAAGATTTTTCTATAAATTTTGTTAACAAGGATGATAGGGGTAGTTTATTTCAACCCCTTCCACTCATTTTAAAAAAGTGAGAAAAATTACCAGAAAGTGTGTTTTCATAACAGTAATGCATCCATAAAATTTCATTAGTCTATCTCTTTTTGTTTTCAAGATAAAAAATAAAAACATTAATTTTCCGCCATCTTTGTACCGCGATATCTCCCTAATGGTTGACTTTTGACCCAACGTTTATAAAGCAAACTACCCTTTATTTTGAACAAGGAATCACCCCCTAAAGTTTTTCGCATTTGTTTTGAAACACCCTGTATAGCTATGCGGCCAAGCAACACAGAGCATACTCGATTTTTTGTGGGGTACAGAAAACAACCCGCTGGCATTAATACTTTAGGTAAAATGCCGTATAAAATAGCATTGTTCCTAAGTCTTCCAAATCCACAACAATACACTGGACATTGTTTCCGTAGAACGTTTGCGTCGTTGCTTGCAGATTCAGGAGTGGATTTATTAACTGTTAAAAGACATAGTGGTTGGCGCTCTAACACAGTGGCAGAGAGCTATATAGAAAATTCCAAAGAAAATAAGAAAAAAGTGTCATGTAATATTTTGGGTAACATTTCTGACAATGATGGGTCTTCAACAAGTTCAAGCACTCAGGAAACAAATTTACTTTCTAAAAATTCAACTCACCTGTCATCGTCTGGAATTAATTTAACCAATTGTACTGATATAATTAATGTTTACAATAAATAAACGTATTTAGGTACCTTTTTTGCTTGTTTCTTATTTTAAAATTTGCGTGTTATTATGAATTCATAATAGCACTAGTGCTATATTATAAAAGCCATAATGTCATCCAAATGACAATATTAAATGTGTCATAATGACATTGTCGTAGATTAATAAATTAATTAAACACTCTCTCATCTCCTGATTTCGCTAATGCTAATATCTATGCATCGGGACCTTTAAACGCAAATATCTTGAAAACCGTTCACCTTTTCGAACTAAACGAAGAGTACCTTTTTGGATAAAAAAGTCCTAGCTTTAATTTTCATTTATTGACATTCCTGTATCTATAAGAATAAAAGAAGTACCACAAGCAGTACTCTCTACTCTAATGGAAAGTACACTTTCGGGGCTCAAAACTTTTTTTTACAGCTCCCAGCGAAAAACTAGTGACGTCACTAAATTCTATGCAAAAAAACTCTATGGTTTACACCTATTCGATAAGTTATAAGACAACCAAGATACGAGAGGATCGAAAAATGCAACAATTTCATATTTTCATATCAAAACATCATATTTTCTAATGTTTTAATATGTTAAAGAAGCAAACAATTCTATGAGGAATTATTTTTGTTTAAATGTTAATAAAAAAATTACCTCTTGTAATCCGGGAATATACTATACTGTATACCCATAATGCTGTTTTTTGTGATTTTATTTTGCTATTCTATGCACATTGATGATATGTTTCTTCAGATTGCATTTCAAATGGCTTCGAAAGGGACATTTCGGTACCGGACAAAAATACGACGGGGGAATCCCACAAAACTTTTTCACGTGATAATAAAAAGAATTTTGCTTGGAATATCCTTTGCCACATCGAGGACATCTGTACTGTTCCACTAAAAATTAAAAATAGACTTTATAAAACAATTCAAAATAAGTATAGAAATATTAAAACACTTACTTCAAATAAAAGAAACAGATTTCTAAAAAGAAACTAAATAAATACTGGGCATCTTCATTTAACTAAAGCATGAAAAGAATTAAACATGCGTTTAGAAAAAAAGCTAAAAAGTAAACTTCTAAGTGATTTCCTAAATTACTAGATAAATAATCAATAATAAATCAAAATAAAAAGTTTTGATAATGTATCGAAGAAAAAAAAACAATTTTCAAATATATTTTTTTAATTTTATTCATGTTTTATAAAATTTTATTATATTCTACACGGTAAAAAAATTAATACAGTATGTTCACGAGTAAGTAGTGCCTAAAGTTTTAAACTAAATACAGTTATACATACAGGGTGTTTCAAAAAATATGTGCAATCTCTCGTGGGAAAACCAACATAGATCCGATTCTGCTTTGTTTCGTAGCTACAGGGTGTTAAAGTCTTATTATTTTTTCGATTTATTATACTTTTCTTCCAAGTACTTTTAGCGTTTCGAATTAAATTTTGAGGTTAATAGTTGCTATAAATGCGACATACAGGGTCGCAATACATGTCCCAGAAATAAGTGCAAGTATTTTAAGGGGTGGGAGATCTCGATAAAAGAAACATATTTTTTCTTTGTGGTTTTTCAAATAAGTCCAAAATAACAGAGTTATTTTACTTTGAAAATTTCCAAAAAAATGATTTTTTGCTCAAATTTTGAGAACCACTGGATCTTTTCTGTATTTTCTACTACCTATGTTGCCATATTATCACGAAATTATGTTTTTTAACTAAAAAAATTGCAAAAAATTTTTCAAAAAATTCCGTACTTTAAAAAAAAAATTCGCGAAAAAAACCTCACTGGCGTGTTTCTGGGGTTGAACTATAGTACCAGTTAAAATACTTGCACTTATTTCTGGGACACCTTGAATATTAAAGCAAAGGAAGTGTCGACATATTCACCAGGGACGTGCATATGGGTTTTCAGTGGAATATAAAAAAAGCATGTACGTCACTGAATTCTACGTAAAAATATCCATGGTTTTCACCTGTTCGATAAGTTATAAGACAACCAAGATACGAGGGGATTCGAAAAATGCAACAATTTCGAATTTGTCCTGTCGTATTTCAGGAACTACGAAATCTGTGTGCAGTATCTTCAATTTCATAAAAAAGTAGCAGTAATGCGAAAACCGCATCTTTGTATCTCTACGCATAAACGAGAAACCCTGCCCAGCACACGAAAATGGGACACCCAGTATATTGTTAGTTTATTATATACAGTATTTATTAAATAAATAAATAAATTTATCTCGTATTCATCCTACTAATATGCACGGAGTTCACATGACGTTTAACATTTCTTTTCATGTAACTTCTGTAGTCACATCCGGCAACATGGCAAACATATTTGTTGTCTCTTAGTACTGTTGCTTCTTGGAAGTGCGTAACAAGCGCCAATTTGTTGCCATATGTCTCTCCGCAACTGCTACAGCAATACTCTGCAAAAAATGTAATTATTTTATATAAGGATACATATTATTATATACAGGGTGGTCAGAACTGTATTCCGGAAACTTCGGGAGCATATTCTGTAGATAAAAATAAGTAAAAAAGTTCGTATAAATGTATGTCCTAAAATGCTTAGTTTCGGAGATACAGGGTGTAGTAGTTTCATTTTTATTTCGATTTTTTCCAAATAATTTCTGAAGAAGGTAACGTCAATATTTGAATGAAAATTGGTGTCTTGAAGTTTTTTCACATGAGAAATTTGCTTTTGATATCAATATGACTCCTACTTGTAGAGGGCGCCACTTACGTGTGTGAGTACCTGTCTTTTTTTCGTCCGTACCTGTATAAAACTACCGAGTAAAAAATATACATTTACCACGTTTTTTACGTAAAAAAGCCTCATGGTAAAAATCGTTACGAGTTATGGTTCTCGAGATATTTAGAATCGAAATTTTCAATACCTGTCATCATTGACATAAATTAAACATGTTGACTAAATAATTATTAGGCTGATATCATAAATTTGAAATGTTTTTATGCCAAAAGTTCAACAGAAACTGTTTTATCATATTTTTTTGAAGAAAAATAAAAAGTTCACATATTTATCATTTCAGTCAAATAACTATCTACCCAACATGTTTATCTTTTGTCAATAAATACATGTATTAACTACTTCCATTCTAAATATCTTCAGAAACACGTAAATGTATTATTATTTTTTCACTCAGTAGTTTTATACAGGTACGGACGAGAGAAAAGTTATTACTCTTCAAAACAGTTAAAACACATGTAAGTGGCGCCTCTACAAATAAGAGTCATAATGACATCAAAATCAAATTTATTATGTTAAAAAACTCCCAGAAACTAATTTTCATCCAAATATTGACGTTACTTTAGAAATTATTCGGAAAAAATCGAAATAAAAATGAAATTTCTACACCCTGTATCTCCAAAACTAAGTATTGCCGGACATACATTTATACGAACTTTTTTACTGATTTTTATCTACAGAATATGTTGTCGAAGTTTCCGGAAAACAGTTCGGACCACCCTGTATATCTGTAGACTGTACCCCAGAAGCAAACAATATTAAGTCACAAAACATAGTTTCGAGAGAAACGAATTTAAAGTTATTTTTTGAAGTTAAAATTAATAAGTAAATTATACCAATTTTTTTTGAATGACAACATAATTTGCATATTAAAAAAAGAAACATTTACAGAGGACTTAATTTATACTAAGTCCCTATTAATGCAAAAATGTATAAAGCTAAACAATTTTAGTCCAAATAAAAGTATATTACTGATATAATAAAAAAAACATTTAACAGAAAATTGTAAAACAGGTTGTGTTAAATTGACTACCTTATAATAGCAAAAAGTTCAAAATCAATTCTTGTCACTGCAGACCCGTGGATCCTAATCCGTGTTAACTAACCAAAGATGTTTGAGCCAAACTGAACTAAAGCTTCATTGAACCTGACTAAAGCTTCATTCAGAACCTCGCAATTAGGAAGCGCAATCCCGCAAATGCTGGATCCCGCATTTGCGGGATCCTTCTGTGATTCCGCGGGATCAAAGTTGCGGTATTTACCGTGTGGGATTTGCGGGATCGACACCAGAGGATTCCCCTTACGGCTTGGCCGTTAAAAATAAGTGAAACAAACAGGTTAATTGTTAGATTTCTTGCTAATCCGTGTTAACTAACCAAAGATGTTTGAGCCAAACTGAACTAAAGCTTCATTGAACCTGACTAAAGCTTCATTCAGAACCTCGCAATTAGGAAGTGCAATCTCGCAAATGCTGGATCTCGCATATGCGGGATCCCTCTGTGATTCCGCGGGATCAAAGTTGAGGTATTTACCGTGTGGGATTTGCGGGATCGACACCAGAGGATTCCCCTTACGGCTTGGCCATTAAAAATAAGTGAAACAAACAGGTTAATTGTTAGATTTCTTGCTAATCCGTGTTAACTAACCAAAGATGTTTGAGCCAAACTGAACTAAAGCTTCATTGAACCTGACTAAAGCTTCATTCAGAACCTCGCAATTAGGAAGTGCAATCCCGCAAATGCTGGATCTCGCATATGCGGGATCCCTCTAATGATTCCAAGTGGGATCAAAGTTGAAGGTATTTACCGTGTGGATTTGCGGGATCGACACCAGGGGATTCCCCTTACAGCTTGGCCATTAAAAATAAGTGAAAACAAACAGGTTAATTGTTAGATTTCTTGCTAATCCGTGTTAACTAACCAAAGATGTTTGAGCCAAACTGAACTAAAGCTTCATTGAACCTGACTAAAGCTTCATTCAGAACCTCGCAATTAGGAAGTGCAATCCTGCAAATGCTGGATCTCGCATATGCGGGATCCCTCTGTGATTCCGCGGGATCAAAGTTGAGGTATTTACCGTGTGGGATTTGCGGGATCGACACCAGGGGATTCCCCTTACGGCTTGGCCATTAAAAATAAGTGAAACAAACAGGTTAATTGTTAGATTTCTTTCTGGCGTGCCTAAGTGAAGAAAAGCGTTTAACTAGTACTTGTGGACAATTACGTCAAATAAACTGCCGGACATAATTGTCGGGACAAGCAAAATTTTAGGGTAAATTTAAAGTTGAATATCTCTTGAACTAAAAAAGATTTTGGGATTCGGTTTGGACCAGGTTTTAGATGCATCTATTGTGATTAAGATATGTGGTTTTCGAAAATATGAAAATATATTTAGCGAATTCTCGTATACAGGGTGTTTTCTAAAAGTGAAAATTTGGTTAAGAATCTTTTTTACCGCAAATTTACAATTTTTTTAAAAATCGAAATTTTTCCCAAGTACTACTAATCTATATTGAAACTAGAAAAAACAACTTTACCGGTTTTTTATTTTTTTGTTTTAAGGAAAATACGACGTTTTTTTATATGATGGTCCTAAATGGGACAAAAGCTTTGTACATTCTGCATATGCCCAAAATTATTGATATGGAGTGTATCTGAAAGTAGATAACTAACACAAGTTAAAAAAAAAACTTCAACATCAGAATAATATTTTTATTTATAAAATAAGTAGATAAATTTATAATAAAATTCTAAGTTTATTTAATATTAAATATATTTTTTGAACACCCTGTATACATCGGTCCAAATTTCTGTACAGATAGTTTAAGATACGCGCTTTATCACTATATTGTGGGCCTATGCAAAATGTACAATGCCTTTTGTACCATTTAGGACCAAATGTATGACTATAAATGCATATTTTCGAAAAAAAAACGTATTTTCCTTAAAACAAAAATTAAAAAAAACACCAAATTGTTTTTTTCTAATTTTAATACAGATTAGTCGTACATAGTTAAAATTTCGATTTTCAAAAAATTATAAATTTTCGGCAAAAAGATTCTCAACCAAATTTGTACACTATTATAAAACACCCTGTATATCGAGAA